GATTCAAGCAATTCTCCTGCCTCAGCCTCCCGAGTAGCTGGGACTACAGGCGCGTGCCGCCACACCCAGCTAATTTTTGTATTTTTGTGGAGATGGGGTTTCACTGTGTTGGCCAGGATGGTCTTGATCTCTTGACCTCGTGATCCCCCCACCTCAGCCTCCCAAAGTGCTGGGATTACAGGCGTGAGCCACCGCACCCGGCCCTTGGAGTGTTTTTTAAAATTCCCCAAGGGTTGCAAGTGAAGTTTCAATTAGATACGTGAAACACTTAACAGTGGCTAACCACAAACACCTGGGCTCAATGATCATGGGCACCACTCCTCCTCTATTTCCAATGCAAATGAATCTGGGAGTAACAGGGCCCCAGCCTGCTTGAGAAAGAGTGAGAGACTCAGCCAGGGAGTTCCCTGGGGGCTATAACAGTTATTACAATATTGAAATATTTGCCTAAGTAACCTCTGACCACCCCTGTCTCAGGATCTCACATCCAGCAATTGGAGGGCTAATGCCTGGCCTTACTAAAGCCAGCAGCCCCTAGGTTGTTAAATATTTCTGCTTTCTGAGAATTTGTTTACTGGCAGAAGCAAGTTTCGGAAAAAGGTCAATTTGGACTAGACCCTGAAGAACCCAAATCTTGCCAACAGCCGCTTCATAGGATCTTTTAATTTTTTGAGATGGAGTTTCACTCTGTCACCCAGGCTGGAGTGAAGTGGTGTGATCCCATCTCACTGTAACCTCTGCCTCAGCCTCCAGAGTAGTTGGGATTATAGGTGCATGCCACCATGCCCAGCTAATTTTTGTATTTTTAGTAGAGATGGCATTTCACCACGTTAACCAAGCTGGTCTCGAATTCCTGGCCTCAAGTGATCCACTGACCTTGGCCTCCCACAGTGCTGGGATTACAGGTGTGAGCCACCATGCCCAACTATAGGATCTTATATAGGGTGACAACCTATTATTATTTAAACTAGCTCCCCCATGCCTTTTTTTTTAAGTCTTCGTATGTCTTCGTATGTTGCCCAGGCTGAGGCTGGAGTGCAGTGGTATAAGGAAAAAGGATGTGTTGTGGTCAAGAATAGGCCAAGGCAGTCCTCCAGTCCAGCGTGACTCAGTGAGTTTGGAGCACAGGCGCACAATCCACTCATTATGTAACCACGCCATGTGAGGCGCATTATATGATCACCCACGTAAGCTTGTGCTTGGCTTGGAGACACTATTGTCTGTAAAAGGTATAACTACCCTTCTGACACTGTACATATGACTCACACTTAGAGGAACAGTAAAGCCATATCAAACTGTCTACACTTCCTCAGGTGTTTTCCCAGCTACCCATCACCCCACCAACTCCCTTCAGACATCAGTTTGGGCTAGAACCTGACGTCCGAACAGGATCCTGGGGTGAGTCAGCCTTTGGTCCCCACTGATTTCGAGTCTGCCATGTGGCTGCAGCATGGGTTGTGGTACCCGTTGGCAGCTACGCTACTCAGATGGGCTCCAGTGGTAACCTGGGCAGCAATGGATGGGTCCCTCTGCAAGCATGGAGAAGGCACTGGGGCGGCTGGAAGCATGGAGCTCTGAGAAGGAGTGAGCTTTTGCCAGCAGAGTTGGATGAGTATTTTTTACTGTGCTACGAGAAGTATACATGCAGACCCTGAGAAATGCAGTGCAGGTGAGGGCCCTCCAGGTGCAGGCAGGGCGCCTGGAGGCCCAGCTACAGAGCTCGGATAATGAGTTAGAAGCTGCTGTGAATGGGGGCCTCCAGGCACAGGCACATTCCTGGAGGCCCAGCTACAGAGCTTGGAAAAGGAATTAGAGGCTGCTATGACTGCAGGCCTGGGTCACTGATCTTGGCCAGAGACCCCCACTTGGTCTGATACGGAGGAGGAAGAACCCCTGATGCGGGCTTGCCCAGTGGTCCATCAGAAGGTCATCAGCAGGACCCACGGGTCCATGCTGTAAATAAGGGGAAGATGCCCCACCCACAAGGGGCTTCCCAATGGGAGAAAGGGGGACTCAAGAAGAGTGACATGCTCATAGATGTGGATAGATTTGATTTTGGCCAGGATTGACCAAGAAAAAAATCTATAAGCAGCCCAATGAAGTTCTTTTTTTTTTGAGACAGAGTCTCTCTGTTGCCAGGCGCCAGGCTGGAGTGCAGTGACGCAATCTCAGCTCACTGCAATCTGTGCCTCCTGGGTTCAAGCAATTCTCCTGCCCGCTACAGCCTCCCAAGTAGCTGGGACTACAGGCATGTGCCACCACACCCAGCTAATGTTTATATTTTTTAGTAGAGACAGGTTTTCACCATGTTGGCCAGGATGGTCTTGATCTCTTGACCTCATGATACACCCGCCTTGGCCTCCCAAAGTTCTGGGATTACAGGCATGAGCCACTGCGCCCGGCCAGAGTTCTTTTTTTTTTTTTGAAATGGAGTCTCACTCTATCACCCAGGCTGGAATGCAGTGGCACGATCTTGGCTCACTGCAACCTCTGCTTCCCAAGTTCAAGGGATTCTCCTGCCTCAGCTTCCTGAGTAGATGGGATTATAGGTGCGCACCACTGTGCCCAGCTAATTTTTATATTTTTAGAGGCAGGGTTTTACCATGTTGGCCAGGCTAGTCTCGAACTCCTGACCTCATGATCTGCCTGCCTCAGCCTCCCAAAGTGCTGGGATTCCAGGTGTGAGCCACCACGCCCGGCCTGAAGTTCTCTTAACTTTGTGGAAACGGTTGTCTCCTGAGCAGCAATTCCAGAAAATGCCCAATGGGGAGAAGGGCATTGATGCACCCCTTCATCCCACCCAGGCACTTCAGCTCAGACTACATGCTGCAGCCAGGCAGGGGTATACAGCCTCTTCTGTTTAATTTGTACAGTAGGTGCTGGTGCTAGTAGGTACCAGTGCAGATTATACCCTTGTCTATGGGAACCTGGACAAGTTTCCAGGCAAGGCTGCATAAACAGCTATGAAAACTGATCAATGAACGTGAAACCTGTATGTCTGTACCTTGGCATTGGCCACTTATGTAAATACATTCTAGAGGTGGATATTTTGTATGGCTTGGCAGCTGTGCCATGTATCACAGACTAGATGGACTGCCTGACAGCAGAATTGGGACAGTAACACTATGCAGTGGACTTGGCTAATGCATTCTTAGAGCCAAGACTAGTTTGCCTTCATGGAGGGGTGACAATGAAATTTCAGTGTTGCCGCAGGGCTATATGCATAGCCCCACCATATGTCATGGTCTCATTGATAATATTATGTTAACCTCTGATTCTCTTGCAGATTTAGAAGTGGCAGTGCCCCTCTTGCCCGAGAGTGGGATGGTATGGCTGAGACCGCCTTCCTAGCAGCCAGGCGGGCTATTCAGTAGGCACAAGCCCTATGGGCAGTTGGCCAGGGGCGCCCATTTGAGCTGGATGTACATGTGACCACAGATGGTTTCAGTTGGGGCCTGTGGCAGCACACAGAACACCTGAGAATGTCAGTAGGTTTTTGGTCCCAACTATGGAAGGGAGCTGAGCTTCAGTATTCTTTGATACAGAAACAGCTGGCAGCTGTATATGCCGCCCTTCAGGCCCATGAGAGCACGCAGGACAGGCAACAGTCATCATGCAGATGATTTACCCAATAGTGGGGTGGATATGTTCATGGGTAACAACTTCTGGACTAGGACATCGCAGATATCCACTTTGGCAAAGCAGGTGCACCTACTTAGAGCAGCAGAGTACGCTTAGTATAAGCCCCTTAGTAGCAAAATCGCAAGAGGTCTTGGGACCTGTAGTCCTAATGCAAGATAAGGCTGTGGGGCCTGAGGCACCCGTAGACCCTGAGCCTGTCTAAGGAAGGCTGCCGCCATTCCTGGTGAGGCATAGTAAACAAATGGGTCTAGCTGAGGTGCTGCTGCTGCCTGGGCTGCTGTTGCAGTCCAGCCTAGTACTGACACCATATGGTTTGACACCAGGTGTGGACAAAGTGGCCAATGGGCTGAACTCAAAGCAGTGTGGACGGTGATCACCAAAGAGGTGACACCTATGGTAATCTGCATCAATAGCTGAGCAGTCTTTTGAGACTTAACCTTGTGGTTAACTACCTAGAAGTTACAGAAGTGGCCAGTTGGTCATCGGCCCATGTAGAGCCAAGCCATGTGGCAAGACCTATAGGGGAAAGGATGACCTCCTCTGACCAGGTATGGGAAGAATGGTAACCTGTTGTTGCCTGCCCCAATACCCCAAAGGGAGGGGAACAAAACATCTGGCTTAATGTATAGAGCAGCATTAGGATAATGTAGACATGGGGTGGTTGCCCACCATAACCTGGAATTGTTGCTCCCTTATGGCTGTAAACTATGTATAAAGTCTATGTGTCAGACCTGTGTGTCCCGGCCCTGTGTGCCAAGCCTGTGTATCAGGCCTGTGTGCCCAGACTTATGTGAATCCTGTGTGCCCAAAACCTATGTCTCCCTTGGTCTAGGGGGTGGAATATAAAGAAAATAGGTGGATGTGCTTCAGTCAAGAAAAGGCTGAGCC